TGTAAAAGATAAAAACAGTATTTTTTCTTAGTACTGTATACCCAAGTTTTCTGCATCATTTCTCTTAGAGCAAAAAGAGGATTGTGTGAGGAAAAGATGTGCTTGGGAAAAAACTTTTTTTACTTCCAAGATTCTAAGAGAATGGTTCAAATTACAGGTGCTAATACATGTGTTTTCTCAACTTACAAAAAGGTAAAGCTGTAATTTTCCCCCAACACATAATTCTAAATAAAAACTAGTTCATTACCTTAAAAATGAAAGGAAAAACAAAAGTAAATTATTGTCACAAAGTTGCTCTGTTAGCAAAGTCAAAGACAGCTGCTGGAAGTGAAGCCATGGGAGATGCTGATGTGTAAGCCCCTATCCTCACCAGTCAGGTGGCCGCCACCACATGATGCCCTTGTCTTGCCAACACACGCCTGCAGAAGCTGCCTGACATGCATGTGTGTAGAAACAAACACGAGCAGTGGAGCAGGCTCTCTGGTCTGTGCCTTATATGTGTGCGTAGAAAGAAGTCTCTTAGGGAGTCAGAGCCATTACACTGTCCAATCCGAGAGGCAGAACTCAAGTCAGACATGGTTTATTTCATCTTACACTGCATGGCAAGAAAATATGCACAGAGTAGGTGTGCAAATGTGTGACAGCTTATGGAGCAAGTGCACACCACCAGACAGGGAGGCCACCATAAGAAGTCCTGTGGATTAGTTGTATTAGTGTCTTGCTTACAGAGTGTATGGAGTTGGAAAGTGTCTCCTCTCCTGCCCAAATTTATGACCTTCCTGGATCTCAGAATGTGATGTTATTTGGAAAGAGTTGTTATGGATACAGTTAGTTTAGATGAGGTCATGTTGGTATCAAGCAGACCCTAAATTCAATATAACTGTTACAGAAGAAGAGGGCCAGGGATGTAGCTCAGTGGTGCCACGCCTGCCTGCCAAGTGCAAGGTCCCGAGTTTGACCCCTGGTACCAGAAAAAAAAAAGAAGGGGTACAGAAATACAGACATATGAGGGAGTTGCCATATGCTGGAGATGGCAAACCTTTTAGAGCTTTTAATGTTAACAAACAGCCTACTGTGGCATGCATGCCATAGGTTCACCACTGCCATATGACAATGGAGGCTGACTGGAGTGATGTGTCTCTAGTCAGTGAGTGCCAAGGAATGCCAGCAACACAGGGAGCTGGGAGGACAAGCAACAGGTTCTAATCTAGAACATTTAGAGAGAGCAGGCTCTGTAGACACTGTGAGTTTGGA